GTCCTTGGTACAGATGGCCACCAACTGGCCGCCATCAGCCCAGTAGACAGCCTTGGGTGTCACATCGATGCGTCGCACCAGCTCACCCGTCTGCCAGTCGTAGAAGGTGAACCCGGCCACTGATCGCACGCCCAACAGGTGACCGCCAAAGATCTGGTCGGCGCCAAAGTCCAGCTTGATAGTCTGATGCACCTTGAAGTTTTTGAAGATCTGCACAGACACAGGCGGAGAGGGAGGGAGAAATAAGAGATGTTACCTAGTGATATTGCAATGTCACAGTAAACATAATAATCATCCTGAAGATCGCCACTGCAACCGGACATTTTGGGAGATGGCTTTGGAGAGTGTAAGTAAAGCTTACTATCTACTGGATCGTGTACATGAGCTTGCATCCGGACACCGGTCGACTGATCTCGACTATGCCGATGATATCGCCTTACTAGCCTCAAGCTTTAGTTATTTTCAGTCTATAGTGTCACGGGTGAACGAAATCGCTAAATGGTCGGTTTGTACAGTAAGGCTGGGAAGACCAGTGTTCTCATGACCTGCAGACCTGCCCCAGAGAAGACACCCCTCGAGATTAATTGTTGTGAACTTGAAGAAGTAGACAGCTTCAAATACCTCGGAGCGAGGTTGCTGCCGAAAGAGCAGCATATGAATGACATTGTCTTCCAAATCGACGCAGGTCGACGATATTTCTCAAGCCTTCGACACGACGCGATATTTCTACCACCAAAAAGGTTCGCGTGTACCGTTTATCCGTTCGGTTTGTCCTTCTCTACAGCTGTGAATGCTGGACTATAGTAGAAGATGAAACAAAATTAGGGGTATTTGACCATTACTAATTGAGGACCATCCTCCAAGTTAGGTACACCGACTTCGTCCCAAATGAGACAGTCCGTACTCACTGTGACAAAAGCGAACGGAAGGCTCAGGCCGTCCAGAATAGACGACTGAGGTGATTTGGAAGCTTTCTTAGTCGTCAAACTCATGAACTCAGTGTTAATGCACTCAACCCGGAACCAGTACCCAATTGGAGACGTCGAAGAGAGGATCAACTCAAAACCTGACTCGAATCATTTCGTCAGGACATGGAAGTGGTTTTTGGACCCTCAGTGTTCGGTCTCAGGTGCTGGTAAATAAAAGGAATTGAACAGTCCAGGTCTGCTGCCACTGATCGTTGCGCGTGGAGAGGCACCATCTGGGACATCAAAGTCGGCTAGATTGGTCATGATCGTAGTCATAACGAGTACAAGCAAGATCGCGCTTAAGAAGACGGTTTCTACCGCATATTTTAGTACTTACGGCTGTAATTTAATATAGATATCAAATTTAGGTAGTCTGGGAGACAAAATGAAAAAAAACGGAACAATAATCAAGCATTTTTTGAAAACACAATGTCAGGGCTACTTGCCTTAAAGATAGCGTTGGTTTCCAGGACAGCATACATGTTGGTGTCAGCCTGCGACCAGACAAATTCCAGGGCCTGTCCAAACATGCGGTTTCGCAGGGCCATGGCAGTGTAGATTATGTACTCACCATCACCGCATACCACAACAAAGCGGCCGTTGGCGCTGTGGGACAGGGTTTGAGGATAGATCTCACAAGCACCCATCTCTTTGTAGGATATCGGCAAACGAGCTCCATCCTGAAAGAGAAGACGGCAACAACAATAAATTCAAGATGGCGAGGTAGGAGAGATGTGGCGTGGAAGGCCTTACTGAATGACGTGCAACATTCGCCATGCATTTAAATTGTTATAACACCTGCGACGTTCTTTCTCGGGGTGAGGGAGGGATGATTTTACTGTACCGGAAGGTCTGACAATTTTTAAAATGCGACAGTCTGCAGTGGGAGACAGATTAGGAATATTCCATTTACGTAGCAATGTTCGTGCGGATGAAGCGAGTGGGGTGAACTAACACTATTAGAGCGGAAAACCAACAATACCAACGTACAGTCGAGAAGCTCGGTAGCCTATATTTGCTTCAAATACGGACAAACTTGACCAGTAGCCCCATCAGAAAATAAAACCATTTATAAAGAAAACTTACGGGTGGAACCAAACTCGAAGAAGCCAAAAAATGCCTAAATTTACTTTAAAAATGTAACACTTTAGATATGATCACAACACTTCACTCAGAAAACGAAAACCAAATATACTGAAATGTATTTTTAACTGGTTTTAAATAGTGTGAAGAAGCAAGTACTCCATGACCCCAAAACCCCCTTTCTATAATAAATTTGTAGCAAATGGCGTCTCCGTAAAAACCACTATGAAAATAAAATGATAACACCGTTTTAATTTTCGCACGAGTTTCAAAAAATGGTTTTGTAAACGTGCCATCTTGCTTTTGCATCAGTGCGGAAGTTGAAGAACAGGAGTGATCGCTTGGTTTGGCGATTTTTTTTTCTCTTCTTCATTCACATGTAAATTCTCTTACATATAAACATCAGTCCGCCTTGTTCACTAATTATATATCAGTGTTGACCCCCCCTACCTTTTTTGGTTATTCGAAATACAATAATGAAGGCATTCACGCACGACGCTAGCACCATTTTGAAGGAACTCCAAGGTGGCCCACATTTTGCGAGTTACTCCACAACGATTATGAAGGATGTCGGTAGTTGCAGTCTTCGGCCAGTACGTATTATTTGCAATCTTTTGGTGTTTTGTGGTTCGTGTGCCTTATCTTATTCACGGTGAACCGAGGACATTTTTTTCTGAAAATTTTGGAATTATATTTTCGAAATAAAGCGTCTCAATCTCAAAAATTCGAGGCAGAGGAGACAACGCCACGGCGGACGGATACTTGTGAGCAATTATCCTGCGTCGAATTGCCTTCAAGGTCTCTGTCTCCGTTGGCAGTTGCGAACTTATGGCACGGAAGCGTGCACTGCGAGCCAGTTTTTTTTTTTAATTGTGTGCATTGTTACAAGATAGTTGCCTTTAAAGTTGTTGTGGAGCAACACAGCATTTAATCAAACTGAAACCAACAGAAACGAAGACAAACAAGCAAATTTCAAATACATTAAACAACCTATTGCATGGCTTCGTTTAGTAAGAAGTATTTTTTTCCACAACAACCATACATTGTGAATATAAATATTTGCATTCAACTTTAATATGAACCCTTATAATAAAACTCGTGTATATAGAGTATGGAAAAACTTTTTCGTGGGATTGTGTGACGTTTTGAAAACGTACTCGATGGAGCACTAACTCGTCGGGGGGTCAGTATGCACTGTTAATACAAACACCCTATACCACGGTTGGCAATTTCAGGGCATAGTCGGCAACTAAAATAAATAAATGCATAATCTAACAGGCTAAACGGAAGTCATATTAAGAAGCAGATGAGAGAACAAACCTCTAGGGCAGTAGCAGAGCCCTCCTCGTTGGCAAGGGATGCAATGACGGAACGAACATTGGCCTGAACCAGCTCAGCATGACGGGCACACACCAGCTTGCCCGAGGAATCCATTGACATGGCGGGGTCCTCACGACCCAGGGCGATAACGATGGTACCCTCGTCATAGCCAATGCCTACCTGCTGACTGCCTTTGTGGCAGGTCACTGCCCACACTCGCTCCAGGCCGTAGTTCAGAGTAGACTCCAGACGGTAGGTGTTTGAGTGCCACATGCGCACTGTGCCGTCCTCCGAGCCGGTCAGAATGATGGGTAGATCAGGGTGGAAGGCGAGCGAGCTGCAGAGGAATAAAGCAAGCAATTAAGCGGGTTGACAAGCCGTTTTTCACCGCATGATCATCCTTTGGTGTGGGTACTGGACAATTAAAAGCACTGTCAATACCAGTGTTATAAAAAAAGTCTAACTGAATGGCAGGGCGCTCATCAATCTGCTCAGGGAACAAGCTCGTTCCGTTTTGCCTTGGAGCTCATTCTAGAGTTATCGCAGGCAGTCGCATAGCGACCTGTGAGATGTGATGGAGTAAAAACCGACAAAGACAAGGGAGAGCGAAATGACTATTTCCGACTCATTAGCCGTCATACCCCAATCCTGGGAGTGGATCGCTGGGGATTCGAACCCGCGACCTCCACTTATGACCGAGGCAAGGTTACACCCCTAACTGACAGTCTACAGCTTCTTAAAGATTCTGAAGAATGTGGGCTCGTCGTGACACTTCAAACAATCTGGAGGTACATGAGGAGGCAAACGCTCCTTTTACGATCATAAATGTTGAAATATAGGTGAGAAAACGAGGATAAAATGATGCCTTCCACTGCCGCTTAAAATGATCAAAGTACACTTTCTATGCCCTTAGCCTAAATTGAAGGTCACCTCTAGGAGGAAACGACATTTAAGCAATCAGTTTAAGGACTAACTTGACACGGTCCCCTAATAGTTCAGGGTAGTTCTACGCCCTTCAATATTCTATGGTCCCTGGAAATCGTAGTGAAGCGATAAGTATGTCGCAAAAATGACCGGTTCTCGAAAAGCAGTGTGCGGTACACTAAACAGGCAGCCTAGGTAAATCATAAAATACACTAAAACGGTTTCCAGTCGCCAAATATAAACGTTTTGGGGCAATTCAACCACAAGCAATGGTACAGGCATGACTCTTCAAGAAAAATGGCCACGGTCTTCAAGTCGTGCGCAGTCCATAAACGTATTATTGCTGAAGTTTTCCTTTAACCAAAGCGTCCTTAGTAGACATTGAACTACAGTTTAAGGCTCTATGGATTTATTTCAGAAATAAAGGCTGATCCGTCCTCATTCGTTCGAAGTGGAAAAGTACACAAGTCTAAAACCGATAGCAAGCTGACAGGCTGGTAGGATTAAAATCCCTCAGTTAGCAAACAAAAA